TCTCAAGCCCGACCGTGCTTGCCGGCGGGGCCCGCCTCGCCGAAAGGGCCCTGCGACCGCAGCCGCCGAGCGGCAGCCGAGCAAGCAGCGGCCGAAGTTGCAGCGCAGGTCATGCGCCGCCGGCCGCTGCGCCTGCATCGGTGCCGTCAGCATTGCAGTCACCGATGACGTCACCGGGCATCAGCGAGTCCTCCTCGTCCTGCATGGCAGGGTGCTGACCGCACCCGCCAAAGAAACTCCCGCCGAGCAGTTGCGCAGGGTGTACCTGCTGACAGCCGCGAGGGCTCCATGAGGCCTGCCGGGCCGCGGCCGCGGCGGCGGCGGCACAGCAGGCGCCGCACGTGTTGTGGGTGTGGGCGCGGGCCCGGCAGCCCATGGCGCTGAGATGCTGCGGCGTGCACGGGTGAAGCCCTGTGGCTGGGCAGTCCTGCTGCATGCCCTCGCTCTCGGCCTCCGACTCTTCGTGCGCCAGCCCCGCCGCATCCGCGCACGCCGCCGCCTCGGCCGCGCCGCCGCCGTGGCGCTTGGCCCGGAGCCTGGGGCGGCCGACAAAGCGGTGCACCGCCGGCGACGCTGGAGCAGCCGCGTCGCAGCCGCCGCCGCTGCTGCAGGCGCTCTCGCCTTCACTGCCGGGCCCTCCCTCCAACAGTATCTTCAGCAGCTGCAGCTCCCCTGGGCTCAGCGGCGCGCCGGGCGGCGGTGCGCCGTCTTCGCTGGCGCTGCTGCTGCAGGGGCCGCTGGAGGCGCGGCTGCTGCCGCGGCCGGCGGCGCTCGAGCGGCGCCGGCGCTCCAATCGCTCCTCATCTGATGCCCAGAGGGCGGCCAGGCTGGTGAGGAGTGCGGCGTCATCACCAACGGCGGCGCCGCCGGCGTCGCCGGCACCGCGCGTGCTGGTGTCATCGCTGCCGCTTTGGCTGCTGCCAGCGCCGAAAAAAGTGAGCCGCGGCGCCGGCGCCGCGGCGCGCGCGCGGAGCTCGAGGGGCGGCCCCGCGCCGCTGCCCGTGTAAGATGGGCTGCCGGCGCGGCGCGGGCTGCTCGACGCCGAGGGGGCGTCTGGCGCGCGCGCGACGCGCTTAGGTGGCGCCGCGAGTGACTGAATCTCCACTGTAGCCAGGAGACGGTCCACCTCGGCAAACACCTCCTGTGACCCCTGCGTGCACACATGCGTATTACGCGGCTCGGATTATTCCGAAAGAAGGAGCAGTGGCGTGGGCAGCAGGGGCGCTTGCGCCGACACGCCCGCGTCGCGCCGTCGCGACTACGAGTACCGTGTGGGCCCCGTGATGACGCGGCGGGGGTCGGTCGAGTCCACCTTGGCTAGCGCGACAGAGGCACGAGGTGGGTTATTTACCTCGCGTTTAGCTTCCGTTTTGGCCATAAAATCCTTTCGATCCTCCTGCAAGTTGGCCCAAGGCTGGGCAGTGATGCTCGATGAGGCCACGGTACTGAAAGATCTTGTATACATCCAGAAATCGAGGTTTGATATTGGCTCTGACATCAACACTGGAAGGGCAGTTTTGGTGCATGACGAACTTGGGATGGTGGGAGCTAGCGGGTGACCGTCTGTGCACACCAACACGTTCACAAGCGTCGCGTGAAGCTTCAAAGTTACTGAAATTCACAAGGGCTCACTTGCAGTCCTGGTGCCCTAGGCTATGAGGACGGCGGCGAGATCCCCTCCTACCCCAGCTCGAGCTGGACACCTGGTTGGCTGGAGGTTGGACAATCACGGTGCTGATTTTTTTACAGCAGGGAACGTTTACGAGAGGTTGCATGTCAAAATAAAACTGTTGCAAGATTTGCAAGCCGCTGATGAGGACCGTGTACGCGTCTCTGGCCCCAACGCAGTCCGTGCACGCGCCAGCTTCCGTTCAGGGCGCGGGCCGGGTGCCCCTCGGGCCGGCCCGCGCCCGTGATGGGGCGTCGCCTTGGTTCCACTCAATGCATCCTTGCCTCGTTCGGCCCGTAAATCTGGGCGCTGGGTAACCACATGGCACTCGATCAGGGCAGCACCTCCCCCTCCTGAGCGAGCCGGGCCGGGCGCGCAGGGGGTGCAAAGGGCGCTGCCACGGTTTGCTGCCTGCGGGCCAACGGGGGATCGATGCGACGCGGTCGCAGGAACATGAGCCGCACTTATCAAGGTGCGACGCCGCAGAGTGGGCTGTCTGAGAGGGCCCCTCGTGTGTCGCACACACCCTGCAAGTGACACACGCAAAAAAAGTGCCCCAACGCTCACGGCGCAGGCCGGCCGCGGCACCAGCCCCCAACCCACCTGATCAACATCAACCTGACCTCATCCCCAGAGCCGGCCAGCGCTTGCTGATCAACCGGGGCGCCTCGTGTGCAGCCGAGCGGCTCGTCTGCGCGCACAGCGCAGGGCCTCTGCCTGCACCGGGACGCCAGGTCAGTCAGGGCCCGCCGCAGTCCGCCGAGCGGCCGCCGCCGCAGCGCCGCCAACCCTCTCACGGGTGCGAAGCCGATTGGGCGGAGCAGGGCGGCGGGGACAAACGCACAAGCAGCACCGCAGCGTACCGCAAGCGTCACCCGGCTGCCCACATGACGTGCCCCGCGGGCGTGTGCGAGCTGCGCGGGCCGTGCCCAAAGCCGGCCTCATGGCACGCCCCGACGCAACGCGTTGGACCACAAAAATTTCCATGCCCTGTCAGGGCGTGGGGTTTGGCAGGCGCTCATGCACCCCGTCGATTTCAGACAGCACCTCCGCCGCCAGCGGGGGCGCGCGCGCGGCGCGCAGGAGCTCCTCTAGCTGCTGCAGCGACGTGGCGCCCACCACCGCGCTGGAGACGAGCGGGCGGCCGAGGACGAACCTGCGAGCGCCGGAACCAGCCAAGGGCAGGACGGGGTGACGCGCAGCGGGGGTGGCGCTTCGCGTGCCCTATGGGCTTCGACGCGGCGCATGGCAGGGCCAGCAGGCGGTAGGGGCGCCCAAGCCAATGGCCGGCGCTTCTGAAAGCAAGACTCAGATTGAGGTCAGGGTTGCCGCAGCGCCCGCAGCCGCAGGCTTCTGTAGTCATCTAGGCTCTCAGGATTGGGCTTCAAAACGACAGCTTTATGCTTGAAAGACTCAGGAGGAACGGGGGTGACGGGACGGCGGCAGCGCGGAGCCCTTGGGCTCGCCTCACCGTAATGCGAGCTCTGTAGGGCTCATGCCGTGGCAAGCGGCGATGGCGCAGTAAGCGTCGACGGCCGCCAGCACGTTGGGCCGCGGGCCGTACCTGGCCCGGAGGGCGGGTGATGTGGGGCGCGATTACTGAGCACGACGCACAGTCCAGGCAGACAGCCGCGGATCGCCGACTCGTGTGTGGAGAAACACTGAAGCTTATGCGCAGGGGCGACCTCGTTTGCTAGCCCGACTCGTTCCTCGGTCCCCGAAACCGCAGCGCTGTGCTGTGCTGTGCTGTTCTGCGCTGCGCTGTGCCCCTCGGCCCCCCGTTGCCAGCCCCTCCACCCAAAGGGCCTCACATGCCCCCGCTCGCCTGGACTCGGCCTCCGCGTATCTGCCCCTGTACTTGTTCAGCCGCGCCTCGGGGGGCCCACCGCCCGGCGCTGTGTACTTCCCCTGAGCCAGGCGCGCGCAAGGAATCAGGGATTGCGGGCGCGAGGGTGCAGGGTTTGCGTATGCGCACTGGTTTGGCATCACGTCGCAGGGCCGCCCACAGCTGGGAAATCGGCGCACGCGTCCGCTCCACATGCACCCCGAGCCTGAGTGATTGGCACCGTGCGTAAGTGTATATTGCCGCGTTGGCGCCAACGCTTCAAGCGGCTCCGCCGCCCGCCGGCCGCGCCCCTCCGGCGGTGGAGCCCTGGGGTGTGCGTGCGGGTCTCCAAGGTCCCATGAGAATAGACCGCGGCGCACCCACCGTCAGCAGCCCCATGGCCAGGGGGCTGTAAGCCAGCAGGCCGACCGCCTCCAGGTGGCACACTTCAGCCAGGCCCGAGTCAAACGTGCGGCACAGCAAGCTGTGTGTAGGGGGGGCGAGGTTGGCGGGGGGTGGGGGCGCAGTGCGTCGCGCAAGATGTGTGAAAGGCAGGGTTCCGGCAGATGCAGCACAGTAGGAGGTTGAAGGGGCCTCAGGTGTGTATGCAACGGCCGCCGCGTGATTGTCAGTCACCTGTATGCGTTTTGAAGGGAAGCAATCCTTGGGAGGCTTGGATTTGCTTGCGCTGCGGCCAAGGGAATTGTTGGTTTGTGGCGCGTGAGGAAGACAGTCACGGGCGCATGGGGAGGACAGCGATGGGGCCATGTGCGCAATCGTGTGGTCGGCAGGCTGTTCATTCAGTGTGTATACAACCCCCTGAGTTATTTGCTGAAAGCTGGGGAGTTCTTCTGAAGGTCCTGGCTAGCACCACAACGTGCACAACAACGCCCACACTTGAGGCTGCAGGCTCAACATGCGACGACGCCCGATCGCCCGGATGCGCGCATCGCGTGCGGCAGCAGCGCCCACCCAGCTGGAGGCACTTCATGAGACCCCATGGCGTCTCGTTGCTGAGGCCTACGTGCCGGACCTGCGAGGGTTGGTCCGCAGGCACCGTGTGCACTCAGATGACAGCAACGCGTGGCGCTGCGACGCCCGCCTGCGCGTCGAGCGCGGGTCAGCGAGGCGCGGGCGCACCGGCGCCCTGGGAGGCAGGCAGCTGGAGCAACGCTGTGGGGCTGAGCCGGATTGCGCACCTTTCCGGCGGCTACCGCGCGCCCAAGCGCCTCCAGCTGCTCCTCCAACGGCACAGACTGCCGCGGCAAGCACGTTTCAGAATATTTTTTTGGGCATCACATCATCCCGAGGTCAGGCCAGCAGGGTTGGCTGAGTGATATCAAGCAGGCAGCCCAAGGAAGGGGGCATTTGCCAGGGCAGCCGTGGCAGACGCAGACGCAGGGCCCTTGCATGGCGCCCCGCGCTTTGGCACCTCAAGGAGGGCAGGCCGGCCGCCTTGAAGGGGCCTGACCGGCCGGCCCGCGCCACGGGTGGCGCCGCGCGGCTCACCGGGTAGGCGCAGGTCCGGTCGTAATCGACGTCCCCAAACATGGGGACGTACCTGCCCGTGCACGGGGCAGGCGGCGAGGTTAATTGAGATCTCCGAGGTCAGAGGGAGCAGCAGGACACGCACAGGCACCAACTCGGCGAAAAGCAGGGCGTGCACGGCAGGGCCAAGGGCGGCGCCGATCCAGGGCGGTCTGCAGCAGCGGCTGCATGAGCCTCGGCAAGGGTTGAAGCTGGTGAGGCGCATTGCAGACCTGGGAGTACTGCGTGAACCTCTGTGGCATCCGCACTGCCAGGCAGGCGCATGTTAGGCAGCAGACTCTCAGAGACAGCAACCCCCAAAAGCCGCGCCCACCTGTCGGGCCAGTGAATTTGATACAGGTCAATGTAATCTGTCCTGAGGCGCCTCAGGCTGCCGTCCAGCGCCTCTGATATGTTCCTCGCGTCAAGCGACGCGGGGCCGCCGCGGATCCAAGTCATTTGGCCGGAGGGGCCGGCAACCTTGGTGGCGACCATGATGGAATCCCTGGGCCACAGGCAGCGGCAGTGGCGGCGGCCGCGTTTGAAGGACAAAGGGTTCAGCTGAGAAGGGCTCACGCGCCAAAGGCAAGGGCCACGCCCGGGGCCGGGCTGCATCCAGCAGCCCGCCGCAGCGGGCAGCCCTGTGGATGCTTACACCGCTTCCTGGCATACGCAGCCGCCCGCACCCTCACCCGCCCCGCCGGCGGGCGCTCCGAAAGCGGCGCAAGCGGATGAAGGAGTGCCGGCGTCGCGCCGCCCCTTGCCGGCGACGCACCTGCGTTGGCGGGCGAGCCAGGCGCCGAGCACCTCCTCCGAGCGGCCGCAGGTTTCCGCCCTCTGGGGAACTGGGTACATCTCCGCTGCGTCGAAGAAGTTCACGCCGGCGTCTAGGCAGGTGTCGAGCAGCTGCTCGGCGGTTGCGACGTCGGTCGACTCGCCGAACAGCATCGTGCCTGCGGGGGTTTGGCGTGGGCGTGCGTGCGAGCATGTGCATGTGGGGGCTCTCATGCAGATATCTCCCAGCAGCGGAGGTTTGTGAGAATCACTGTTGACCCCCGTACACACCCTCATCTCACATGCACATGCGTGTGGACGCGCGCATGCACACGCACATGCGTGCGAGCGCACGCATGTATGCCAGTGCACATGCTGACGCAGTGTCACACCCTGGTGAATTGTGGCTCGCACCGAAGCAGATGCGTGGCACCACCAGGTCCGTGCTGCCCAACTGTACAGTGGGTACTGACGCCACCACCAGCTGATGCGTGCGCAGTCGCGCGTGCTGTGAGCTGCTCTTGTCAGTGGCCCTCGCGCACAGGCGTGGCGGCAGCGGCGGCCATGGAGCGGGCGACCTTGCTGCGATGCTGCTGCGGGCGATGCCATTTGCCCTGCGGGCCCCAGCTGATCGTTTGTCGATCATTGGTGATAAATGGTTTTTCACCAATCATACAAAAGATTAACGTCAATGCAGCGAAGTCGCCACAGATCACGAAAATGCAGTTATATAATTGCTGCTGCTATGCTACTGGATACATGACAACTATTGGAAACATGTATACCGCACTGTGGTACTCATGTGCGCGATCATGATTATGCGACATGGTGTGCGTGTCGCTCTGCTGTGCTTGCTCGGCAGCCAACCAGCGACAGAGCTTCACCTGCTCATGGGAATGACGCCAGCAAAGGGAGGGCTCGCGATGTTGCTGTACAGGTGTTCCAAGCCTGTGCACAGCCTGTGCCAAGCCGTTGCTGCACACCTGTCAACCGCGGTCAAACCATGAGAGACTGGCACCTGGCAATGCCGTGACACCTTTGGCCATGCTTTGCTAGCCGCTGAGAATTATATAGGTTGCAGTTCCTACATCACATCTGCACCCTGCCATCGGGTGCCCCCAGTCCACCTGCTTACGGTAAGCGACGAAAAATGATGAGAGCTTCTTGCACCCGACAACAAGCGCTGAATGACCACACTCCTCCATGCTGAGAATGCGCTTGGTGCCTATGTGATGCACATAGAGGGCGGCTGCTGTACTGGCCATAATACGGCGCTCCAGTACGGCCAGCAGTTGCAAGCTGGCAACTGCCATGTGTACTGTACAGCATCCCAACCATGCAATTCATGATGCAGCCACACAGCTTCACCGCCAATGCAAGGTAGTACTTGATTTCTCAGCCGCTACGGACAGCGATATTGCAGCGTCGAGATCGCCGTCGGAATCATTTCAGATGTTGAACGCGGGGCGGGTTTTGGAGCAAACAACGCGTACGACAAGCATCAGCCAGCAGTGGCATTCGCTTCGCGTGCCGTCGGCTCTGCCGGCGGCACGAGTGCTGCGCTGCTCACCCAGGCTGCCTACGCCTGCAGTCCCGCATGGGGGGCCGCACCCGCTGGCGGACGCCCTCCCGCTCTACAACAAGCGCGTCATGCTCACAGGTGCGCGGATAGACAGCCCGCGTCCCCTGGCGGAATCAATGGGGTATGCTGGGGGCCGCGATTTTGCCGCTTGCTGGAAACAATGCCGCACAATCACACGTCCCGCGCGGCACTCCGCGGCATGCCCATGCACACAATCCATGAGCAGCACCCTCAAAGACCTGCTGCGGCCCTGCTTGCTCGCCTCCCGTGCGCCCCCTCCTTCGGTGGCATCGCGCCAGCGCCCCGCCAATACGCTGGCCGCCTCGCGTCCCTGCTGATCGCCGCCGGCGCGTCGCCGATCTGGCTGCCCGGCATTCAAATCACGCGGCTGCCTGCTGACCAGTTCGGCGAGGTGGGGAGAAGGCGGCCGTGCGCCCCACATGCTGGGCTCTCTGGCGGGGGCAAACTGGGCGCAGTAGCGAGCGCCTGGGACAGCATGTGCTTGGCCAGGCCAGCTGGGTGTTGACCAGCGGTCAAGCGGGTCAACGTGTTGTTGCTCTGCATCAACGGCAGCGCCCTGGCCGCAGCCTGTTGCAGCCTGTCTTGTCCGCTTGTTGCTGCCTGCAGTCAATTGCTCGCCTGTCCTCGCTTACTGCCAAAAAATGAACCCACTCACATGCACACACACACGCGCCTGCTCGCGCGCACGCACGCACACACACACACACAAAGACAAAACACACACAAACACAAAACACACACAAATATACAACACACACAACACACACACGCGTGCGTGTGTGCACAACCCAGCTGGATGCTGCACTGCATCGGCTGCACGAGTTTGACTTTCTGGCGTTCACCTCCATAAACGGCATCTACGCGGTGATGGGGCGGTTGGAGAGCCTCAAAGGAAGTGAGTGCGACGTGGCAGTCACAAGGGTGTTGACCAGCAGACTGAAGGTACCTTGTTGCAGGGTTGATTGAGCCTGACGCCTGGGGAGTGGATATTGGTGCAGGGCTTATTCATTATTATTTCAAGGGAATGCCACACGGTGGTGCCTGGAAGCAAGTGCGGCTGGGTGCAGGGCACCTGATGTGGCTTTGCGTCAGGGCGCAACCTGTGTCGTGGGCCCGCCATATGCCCTGTTGCGCCTGCGCGGCTACAAGCAACCAAGCAAACGTTCAGACGCAGGCGTCCACTCATCAGTGCAAACCCACATTATGAGTGCATGCGTTCTACGTGTGCCTAGACAAGTACGCAAGCAGGCATGCACGTCAAAACATGCGCATCAATCTCCTGCCCAGGCCCGCAGGCGGCCGTGCAATTTGTCCGCGACAGCCGCATGAAGCTGTGCGCCCTCGGCGCTGACGGGGACGTCTTGCAGCGGGAGTTTGGCCTGACCCTGGACGTCTCGCCCCAGGAAGCTTCCACCCAGGGCCTGGTGGCCGAGCTCGAGCGCCGCGGCGGCGCGAGGGGGGCCCGCGTGCTGGCGCCGGTGCCGCTCGTGACGGGTGCGATGTCAATGGGCAGCTGCGGCTGGTGGGCGGGCGGGCGGACGCGCGTATGTAGAATCCAATGAGGCACGCGACTGCACCCATCACTGTTACGGGCCTCTGCCCGCAGCCCGTGGTGGGGCTGCCCCTGCACACGCGCGACCCAAGTAGATGCTAGCCTCAACATGACTGCTCGCATGCCGGCACCCACCAATTCCTTCCCCTGCCTGCCTGCCAGGTGGCCTGCGGGAGCCGCCCGTCGTGCCGCGCTTCATGGCCGGCCTCGAACGCATCGGCGCGGCCGCCACCCGGGTCCCGGCCTACCTCACAACCCCCGGCTTCCCGGGTCAGGCGGGGCTGGAGGCGTGCGCGGCTGAGAGGGAGCTGCTGCAGGAGGGGCGGGTCGCGGCCGTCGTGTTTTCGAGCACGGCTGAGGTGGGCGGTGGGTAGGGGCGGCTTGCGGCTGCGATCAGCACACAGCGTACGCACGGTAGGTGACTGGCCATGGCATGCGCTCCTGTGTGTCGCATTGCATGACTCATGCCCTAATCCGCAATAGGGACGATTCTAAGTCGAACCAACCAGCCTTCTGATGACTCATGCTCTTCAGGCATCCTTTGGACGTGTGACCTCCTAGCCCGCTGCTCCCTGACCGCCAGTGTTGCGCCGACACACCGCCCGCTCCCCAAAACGCAGGCGCAGGGCCTGTCCCGCCTTATGGGCGGCCGGGAGGTGCTTGCTGACGCGGTGCGGCGCCACGGCGTGCTGCTGGCCGCGCACGGGCCCTGCACGGCAGCGGGCGCTTCGGAAGTCCTGGGGCTGCCGGTGCCTGTTGTCTCAAAAAGGCGAGAGTGACGTCACGCGCCTTCGACCTGCTCCTGGGTCCTGCTTGCTGCAGACATCATGATCGGCGCCGCACGCGCTGCAACCCCTGAATCGGCGTCCTGGGCGCGTGCAATGCAGTTGGGCACCCGGCGGAGGGCGGCACCCGGCGGCGGCGGCGGCGCGCCTCCGGCGCGCCACCCAACCTCTGCACCTGCGATATGCGTGTTGTTCATCTGGCATCGGCCTGCCCTTTCCTCCCTTGCCCTCAGATAGCTGCTGCGCCCCAAGACTGTCACTGACAGCCCACCCCCCCTTTCCCCCACCCCCGCCCATTGCGATCCCCGACCGCAGCTTTTCAACGTTTGAGGGTGTGGTGATGGCTCTGGCTGAGGCCTTCCAGGCTGAAGCACAGTGATCCTAATCCACACATGAAGCTACACCGCAGTGCCCCATCATAAATGGTGCCAGCAAACTGGTTTGGCGTGTTTGTTCCTTACTTGTGGGGTTGCGAGGGGATGAAATGCAGACCCATATATGCATTTATATCCGAACTGTAAGAGCTTAGTCTTGTGCCTAGAGTAAATTGACAACTGTAAAAGCGAGAGAGAAGCGTAAACCTACAAAGCACACAGTAAGCAAGCCGCTAATTGGCATGGGGCTGCATCTAATTCAGCCAGCGCCGCCTTCCACGTCAATAGGGGCCGGACTCAGCCGCGTCCCAAGTACCCCTGGAACCCAGCAGCGCCCGCTCCACTGTTGTGGCGCATGCGCATGGCCCTGGTGGCCATCAGGGCCACCACCACCAGTGCTGAGAAGCACCAGCACGACCCTGTGTAATATTCACCCCCTTGCCTCGGCGACCCTCTCACCCTTCGTCCGCGACACAGTCAATCACAGGTTGCGTATGCGCCCCCATGCAGCAGGTCCAGCGGCACGCAGCAAAGCCACGCGGTGTCAGGGGTTTTGTGCAACGCCAGGGCGCGGTCCGGCACGCCGCAAAGTGGCGCCAGCTGTGGCTGCACTGCCGCATCAACAACCCGGGCGCGCTGAGCGTGCAAGAAAACTCCTCAGCGGACAGTGAATGAACCAAGCAGCCGCTGCGTCAAATCACATCCTAGGGTCTGGCCAGTAGGTGCGTTGAACCCTGCCAGGTCCAACCCCTCTTGATAAGAGGTTGGTTGAGCCACAGGGCCCTCCATCAACAAAAAGCACGCAGGCGCGACGCTGCTCCTTCAGCGAAGCGCCATGCCGCTGGGCCTGCGCGACTGCAGCAGGCGGGCCAAACGCCGCTGCACGGAGTCTTGCATGCGCGACACCGGATAAGCGCTCTGTATGATGCCGCATCATCGGGCCGAGTGCGTGGAGCCAGCCACAGGCTACGGCTTGGCGGCAGGCGACGAGAGGACCGGCAGTTGCTGGGGGGCGGCCGCAGCCGGCGACGGCGACGGCGACGCCGCCTTCGCCGCCGGCGAGGCCGCCTTTGGCGCGGCCGGCGCCGGCGAGGCCGCCTTCTGCACCGCCGGCGCCGCGGCCGACGCCTTTGGCGCCGCCGCTGCAGCAGCCGAAGGCGCAGGGGTGGGCGCGGGGGACGCCGCCGCGGCCGCGGCCTTGGCCGCGGGGGCGGGTGAGGGTGTAGGAGACGCCACTGTGGCCGCGGCTGTGGCGGGGGGAGTGTCCTCCTGCTCCTCAGCAGGCTCCACATCATCAACCGGCACGGGCTCCTTCTGAGTTGTGCCGGGGCTCGGGACCGGGGACGCGGCCGGCGGAGGGGCCGGCGCTGGGGACGCGGCCCGCACCGCCGCAGAGCCGCCGAAGCCCGGCACAGGCGCTGCTTGCACGACCTGGCCAAAAGCGGAGGCAAGGGGGACCGAAAGCGTGACAGGGAGTTTCCAACGTAAAAATTGACCATTCTCATTTGCCTTTCAGCAGACACAGAGCACGTGCCCTACCAGCGGTTTGGTCCAAAGCTCATCACAGGGCTGTCACAGGGGGTGGTTCAAGCTGAGCCGTCCCATAAAGGCGCCGGTGTGCAACGATTGCATCCAGCCTTGACTCGTATGACAGCGCGTGCCGGATGCCCACCTGGTGGAAGATCTGGTTCTGGCCGGGCTGCTGGTAGACCGCCGCCTGGCCGTACACAGGCTGCGGCTGGGTGTAGACCGGCTGCTGGTAGACGGGCGCACCATAGACAGGCTGCTGGTACACCGCGCTGCCGTACACCGGCTGCTGGTACACGGCTGCTCCATACACGGGCTGCTGGTACACGGCTGCTCCATACACGGGCTGCTGGTAGACTGCACTGCCATAGATGGGCTGCTGATAGACAGCCGCCCCGTACACGGGGGCGACGTAAGCAGGCTGGACGTACGCGGCAGAACCTGCGAGCGCGGCCCCCGCGCTGCGAAGCAGGCCGCCGATGTCGTTCTTCGCGCCCTTGAGCGTGCGAGCAGCGGAGGCGCCAGTGACTGCCGGGCGCAGCGCGGGGTTGGATTGGGGGACGTTGAGAGGAGCGCGCATGCGTGCAACACTCAGATTGAGAGCGCCAAGGGGGGAGTGAAGGGGTGGTGGCGGGCGCGTCAGGTGTCATGCTCAGGCCCCTGAGTCCGGTGACACAAACGCGCGATGAAATCACAGAGGTGCAAATTACCTGCTAGGACAGCAACCAAAACCTGCAGCAAACGCTGCGTGGCTGCCATCTTGTTCGAGCTGCGCTCGCGGATCTGCGAGTGAGAAACGCGTGCGCTGTCTGTCCACACGACGAATCGATACTTTTTTAGCTGTCCTAGTCACTCACAAGAGCAAGCGGTGTGCTGTCACCGGCGAAACTTGGCGCGCGCGCGGGTGTCCGGGGACCTGACAAGTCGACGCCTGATGGCTTTGTCACGAGCTCGAAATATCGTCAATCATGAAAAGGGGATTGCAGCGGACGGAGAGTGGCACCAAACAAACCACATCATCGCGCCCAGGCAACACACGAAACTGGAGCTGGTTACGGGTATGGGAACACTGATGATTTCCTTTCACAGTAGCCTGGGATCTCTCTAGGGAACCACCATATCACTGGTCTATCTCATCATGGCAGCTAGTGCGAGCACCAGGCGTGGTTAGGACACGGCTACTCATGTTGACCACCTGGCTGCTCTCCGCCGCAAGCCCATCTTTACTCGGGACACCCCACGCTCAACGTTGTCACCAGCTGCAGCGCGCATTAGGCCGCCCGGCACACATGCGCGCCATGCGGGTCTGGATCCTGCCAGTGTAGCCTAGGCAGTCCAGGCTCCCCTGTGCATGTCAACTTTGCCACTTGGGGCTTGTCCCAATGTTGGGCTTGTCATCATGCCAGGGCGATCCAACGCTGAGCCACACATCTGCTGCTGCTACTGCTGCTGCTGCTGCTGCTGCTGCTGCTGCTGCTGCTGCTGGTGCTGCTGCTGTCGCCAATAGCCAAGCAAATGGCAGGATACCATTACAGCTGTACTGGATACGAAAAGAACAGCCTATAGATAACCACCAGGCCAACAGTTCCAGCCGCCGCCAAGCCCAGCTGCCGGAGCGCCGCACCATCCACCCCGCCCCGTCCGCTGCACCCGCTGCCTGCGCCGCGCCCGGCCTCGCCGCCGCCGCCGTCCGCCCACGCCGTGGGGCCGCGCCACCGCACGCTGCGAGCAGCGCCCTTGTCGCTCCTGTCCGGGGTGGCGCTGCGCGTGCCCTCTTCGCAGTCGCTCTGGCTGCTGCAGCTGTCCAGGTCACTGGCGCGCTTGAGAGTATCCGCATCCCCACCTGGCCATTTTTTGCTGACATCACCACCACCACCAAACAGCAAGCGCCACAGCTCCCACCTGCGCAGGATGGACAAAGGAGTGCATGGCATGTATTGACAGATGCACCCAACCAACGCACCCAGAGAGAGCTCGATTGGAGCGGGCATTCAGCTTGAGTGACGCGGAAAATTGCAGTGATCAGATTGTGCACATTTCAATAACCCAACCAGCACGAAAAAGCAGCCCGCCTTCCGTGTGACGTTGCTACTGGCTGGCCATAAACAGCGTAGCGGCACCTGCCTACCCAAAGTACAGCAGCTGCGCAACGTCGCCCGCCATCAGCAAGATGTCACGTGTGTTGGGGACTTTGATGGTGCTTATGAACAGGCCCCACAGGACGCCCTCTGATCCGACCGCGATGTACAAATGAGCTGCGGAAGGCATAAGTGTGTGTGGTGCGGTTTTGCCGGAATGGGAGGCAGGGATCAAAAGTGTTTGGAACTTGGAGCGGTAAGGCTTGATAACGCGGTGCAACTGGATGGCCCAATGCTGCAGAGGCCAAAAGACAAGAATCATCACAGCGCGATGGGGCAGCAACACTACAACGTACACACTTGTGCAAGCCTCGTTCTACCTTTCGCTCCCTCGATCTCTCGCACACACACACACGAGCGCAGGCGCGCGCGCACGCGTGCACATGCAAAAAGACACACACGCGCTCTCAACGACGCGCAACAGACGTGAGCACACGCATGTGACCGCGCGCTCGCACCAGCCGTGATGGCCAGGGGCGTGGCCAGCAGCGCCACGCTGGGCTGTAGCTGCGAATCAAGCATGAGATACAGGCAGTGGGTGGCGACCAGCTCTGTGGCACAGAAGAACAGCTGGGACCTGGTGAGACGGCGTGGCGTTGGGCAGGAAAGCGCGCGATGAGTGGGGGCAAGTTTCATGAGAATGTGGTCGTGCGGGATCATGGTGCATGCGCCTGCGTGTGTGCCCCGCCGGGGGGGGGGGTCACTGCGTCGGCATGCGTGCGAGGCAACAACGTGGGCCGGAAGGAGGCACCGACAACGCGCGCCCCCAGCTGCTGCAGCGCGGTAATGCCAGTGTTGTCGGGATAACCCGATGGTGACAGCGAGAATCGCGGAGCCGAGGCACGCACTTCAGCATGTAGAAGCCCTCGTTCAGGTAGTTGACAACCGCCCACGCGCCTGGCCGTGAGCGTGGCGTGAACATGCGTGTGCACGGCAAGACTCACGGTCCATGACCTTCGAACTAGCTTCGTACGACTCGGAGCGGCGGCTGGTGCAGTGTTTGGGGTTTAGGCCCGCGCAACCCTGCAACCCCAAACGCAACCTGACGCGCATCTCCGCGCGGCTAGGGTCGGGGCCGAACTCAAGGAGCGCAGTGAGGTGATCAGATGTGTGCAGGTCCAGTGCGACAAAGCCCACCATAGAACGTGGGGTAGAAAACGAGCAGGGCGGCCGGCACCGCGGGCAGCCGCAGCCGCCCAGCGCGCGCCAGCGCCCACAGCCGCTGCAGGGCAACCCCCAGGAGGTGCAGCCAGAATGCCACCCACAGCAGCATCAGGGCTGGGCGCAGTGTGAGGTGGGGGGGCGGAGGAGGCGCTGAGGGCGGGGAAGCCGGGGGCAACTTACATGCACATGGAGTGCAAGAGTGCCGCGTTCAGGCGACGGCATGAAAGGGCTGCGCCACGCCATACCCCTTGCGAATGCAGGCGCAGCAGTGGCCCTGCCTCCCCAGCTGCCGGAGTTGAGTGAGCACTGATGAGACGTGGCACATGCAGCTGCAGTCTGATGCGATTTAATCAAAACATCATGTGGCGACATGAGATGATCGCACACCTGTGTTTGGCACAATGTTGAAGTACATGTGCTTGTAGCCGCCCCTGTTGTGCCGACCTTTGAAGCGCCCTGTAGCGGCGACACGCGCGACAGCATTTGAAATCCTGAGCAGCGCGCTGCGTCCCACGGCTCGCATGCGCCACACTCAGCTGCACGATTGCGCCATCAACGGCAGCGTGCTGCTGGGTTCAAGGGTTTACAATGCACAGGCGATAGTGGCAGCAGCGGGTGCGAATTCAGCAGTGCCGGCGGGCGCCCATGAAGGTGCTGGAGTGGCCACTGCGTGCCGCCTCGCACCATCCCAGCAGCTGCAGTCGCAATGGGCCTTATCGACTGGTGTGCCGCCGCCTGCTTCCAATGACGAGACATATATGCCGCCGCACGCGATCGCCGCGGGCAACAGCGCCACGACTGCGCTTCCACCGCCGGCAACAACGGCGCGTTGCAACACTGCGGCAAACGTTGCTGGTGCAAGCCCAGGTCGCTGCTGATCCGATGCGGTGGATGATTTCTCTTGATTGATTTGCATCGTGGGGTGACACCAGTTGCCTTGCAGATGCCGCGATCTGTCGCGCGTTTCAGTGCGGTTGTTTGATCCTCGTGATAAAACTCGTCTCGTAATACTGTTGAAACTTACAGACGTTGGCCGCCAACAACCCTGCGTTGAGAAGTGGTCGGCGCACACCTAAGCGCCGACCAACGGCGGCGCAGTCCACGCACACCGAGGTGGCTTGATGGGTGGCGTGTCACTATGTATCAGGGCCCACTAGGTGGCCCGTCAGTGACCCTGTTCCAAGGGGGTTATGGTAGCACACCGCATTCTGGGTATCTGGTCAATGAGTCAACAGCCGACTTTGCCGCATTGCGCTCAGCACGTTGTTCCTGGCCCAGGGCGCTGGACGCCATGCGTCGCTAAGCACCCCCATTGATGTGCCGTGATGGATTTTACACAACAGCCAACTGATTTTGGACTTTGTCGATGCAACGGATGCAGTATGTTTGGAATCTATATGACCCATGCCTCATCACGACATGAAATCAACACAGGCAGGAATGTGACCGCTCGCCCGACCTCTTGGAGCCATCTGGGCTCGGTTGATGCGACTTTGAAGCATCAGTGTTGTGTGACTGGGATCCAGGTGGCTACCGTTCTTCATTCAAAACAGGCGTGCGCGAAGGCCCCAAGTTTGGGCTGGTCTGCACTGCACACAAAGGCGCGCACGCGGGCGTGTGCAGGCAGGTTCGCGAACAAGGGTGCAAAGCGCGGCGCGGCACCCAGGTCTGCGTATGTAGGGCAATCAAGCAAAGCATATTCAGCCGTTTCATCAAGGCCCAGGCCGTCGCAAAGGGGGGCAATGGTGGGGGTGTTGTAATGCAAGGTTGGCGATGCCGTGAAGGCAGGAGAGCAGCAGCGCAGGCCCATCAACGCCCGTGCGTATTCTTGCGGATCGGGACGAAGCAGGAGCAACAATATGGGAGAGCAGGGAGGGATACTTTTTGTGAGCAAGCAGGGTGTATCGAGCGCCTGTGGCACAGCAACGTGAAACACTATCCTGAAGGTAACATTTTCACAGGATTGAAACATTGATTAGTTGGGCAGCTGCCGACGTAGCAAGTCGCAAATTGTACAGCATGAGCACAAGGATGACGCCGAAATTCAATGCAGCACAGCATGAGACCACGGGCCAGCGCAAAGCTGGCAGGCTAGCAAACAAGGCATCTTGCCCCTCCTTCCCAGCCGCCCTTAAGACACCGCAACCGCCACCTCTCCCTCTTCCGCCGGCTGCAGCCCGCCGTAAACCCGGTCAAACACCTCGTTGCGCATCAGCCGGTGCGGGTCGAACGCGGCGCACTGCTTGCGGAACTCGCGCACAGGGAGGCCGAACCCTGGGACAGCCGGCGGCCCGGCGGACTCAGAAGTGTACTTCGCGTGGTGCGGCCGCCCGCCCAGCGCGCGCAGCACGTCCTCCATGGCCCCAAAGTAGTCGGCCCACTCGTCCCACGGCGGCAGCGGCGCGTCCATCGCGGGCGCGACGATCGCGAGCTCGAAGGCGGCACAGACGGCGCCCTCCTCAGAGTAGTAGCAGGGGTTGAGCAGCGCCGACGTGTCCGCGCCGACGTAGCGCACGTGCAGCCACAGGTCGCGCGGCGGGCGCGCACCGGGGCCGCCGCGGCGCGCGGCGACGGCGTCGAAGCGGCGGAGGATCTCGCGGGTCGCGGCGGCCTCGGAGGCGGTGTCGAGCGAGACGTAGTACTCGCCGTTCCTGTTCACAGAATGAGAAGGTTGGCATGGCGGGCGAGAGGCGTCAGTAAAGTGATGGGGTGTGTGGGCGAAGTGATGTTGGCAGGAGAGACAGGTGGAGGAGAGGGCGTGTACATGGGCGAGACAGCTGCGGCCAGAGGTCAGTGGTGGGCAGGAGCAAGGGATCATACGCCCAGCAACGGCTGGGTTTCGACCAAGCGGTTGCTTGCCTGTGACGCCCAAGCGAGCACACAATTTTTGCATTACTCAGGGGAGTGGCTGCATAGATGCCAGCGGCCCCTGCTCTCTCACCCCTGCCAGTCTGCTCAGCCACAACGCAAGCCGCCGCCCCCGCCCGCCCCTGCACCAACCCAAAAAGTACCACAACAACCCCTGTCTTATCGCATGCTGCCACGCATGCTCACCAGAGCGGCTGCTGCTCCATATCCACCGCGTGGGTGAGGCTCAGGTGCGACACGTCTGAGCAGTTGTCCCACCGCATGATGAGCGGCAGCCCGTCGGGGCCGAACTCGGTCAGCAACGCGTCCTCCGCCTGCTCCGCCGCCGTGCGGCAGGGGCGGCCCTCCGCCAGGCTCTCCTCGGCGGTTGCGGGCTCCCAGTACATCGGCCACGCGGACTCGCTCAGGGGGTGCAGGTACCAGTGGAAGCGGTCGTACGTTGACTTGAGCCGCGGCAGCTCCTCGCCGAAGAACGCGCCAAGGTCGTCCGTCCGCCACCGCCGCCGCCGCAGGTGGAACTGCGGTACTACGGGCAGCGTCACGCGCGCGACGACGCCGCACATGCCGAGCCCCATGCGCGCGGCGCGCATCGCGTCGGGCGACGCGTCGTCGGTCAGGTCGTGCGGCACGCCGTCGGTGTCGTAGAGCCGCAGCGCCGAGACGACGCTCGACACGCCGCCGAGGGACATCTGCGACCCGTGGAAGCCGACGGCCACGGCCCCGCCGACGGTAAGGCCCTGGATGCCCCCTGGGTGCCAGGCAAGGCCGAGGCCCTTGGAGTGGAGCTCCTCAAACAGCGCGGCAAAGCTGGTGCCCGCGAGGACCTCCGCGTGGGTTGCGTTGAGCTGGGTGATGCCGGACAGCATGTGCAGCGCGAGCGTCGCGCCGCGCGCGCCGCCAGGGGCGGCGGCGGGGACGTAGAGGCCGGCCCAGCTGTGGGCGAAGCCGACGACCTTGAGGGGGGCCCGAGGGGGCGCGCCGGGCGCGGCGGCGGCGGCAGCGGCGGCCTCGGCGCGGAGGTAGGACGCGAGCTCGGCCTCGGTGGCGGGGGCGACGACGGCGGAGGGGGTCCACTTCACGGTGCCGGCCCAGTTGGAGCATTCCCAGTTGGGGGACCCGTCCGCGGGCGGCCCGCACAGCCGGCGGGGCTCGTGGGCGGGGGCGGCGGCGTCGGTGCGCTCGGGGGGCGCCGTCGTGAAGAGGCCGCCGCCATGGGGGGCTGGGGGTGTTGCGTGCGCGGCTGCGGGTGGGGGGGGGGGAGCCGAGCGCGGGAGGGCCAGAGCTGGAGTGAGAAAGTAAGGGGGGCCGTACTTTGAGATTTGGTGAGGTGTGATAATCCCTGTCACCCTGAATCCCTTCTTGCCTTTTCAGGGGCCCGCCAGCAGCCAAGTTCACAGGTGAATTCATGCTCACTCCCTGCATCACCCTCCCTGCCGCCCGGGCACTGTCGTGTGATCATGCAAGGGGCAGCTCTGCTCCTCAGAGTGCCGTGCCTGTCATCCAAGCCGTTCTCACCTTTGATTGCGGCCAATATGAGGCAGCAAGAGAGCGCGAGCCCTGGTAACTTGCGCATTTTTGGACCGAAGGGTTTTCTGTTGTGTTAGAATATTCTGAAGTTGTAACGTTGTGTTGGTTCGCATATAATTCTGCTATATTGAATCATAATATAAGGAGCAAACAGCGTGCCCGGCGAAAGAGTGAGAAAGTTCTAATACTTTCAGAGTGAGATCCGAAAAGTGCATTAGATACCGGTATCCAGGGCAGCATGGCCAAAAGCTCATGATAGCTAGGAATCTTCTTGCAAGCGCTCATCGAAGCGACCAGGATGGGAGTGTCTGGCGACAATGTTGCTTCGGTCGGCGACTGCAGCACCAGCAGCAGCACGAGCGGGGCGTCAAATTGGAGCGGCTTCAACGCGGCGCTGGGGCGCGCCAGCGCCGCGGCCTGCCTATGCAGCCTGACAACTGGCTGGACCTTTGGTAGGTGGCTTTCTACCGGTAGTGGCCACATGTACAGCCGGCACAAGTTGACAGAGCGGCGCCGTCAACAGCGCGCCTGGGCGCTCCTCTATTGTGTGGCGCGGTGAAGCACAAATGGCACGCACCGGCGCCCGCCACGATTGCATACACTATAACGCACCCCCCTCTCTCCGGCCTTGGCTGGCGCAGGCATATGGGGCGGCCTGACAGCCATGCCCGCATTTGCGGCCGCCTTCTTTCCACGCAGCACCGCCGGCGGCGGCAGCGGCAGCAGCAGCAGCGGCGGCAGCGGCGCCGCGTACTGCATGTTTGAGGACCCCCTGCTGTCCTTGGGGAACAGCATCATATACCTCACAGCACTGCCCGCGCTCGCCGCCGCCGCGCGGCTGACGCACGCGCGCGGCCGCAAGCCGACGATGTGGGGGATCGCCGCGCTGCAGATCGCGGGCGCGGCGGCGGGCGCGGCAGCGCCGAACCTGGCGTCGGTGTTTGTGTCGCGCGCGCTCCTGGGCGCCGCGATGGGCTGCAGGTGGGCGCAGCTGCAACCGAGACGCACAGCTCTTGGCTGCGTCGGTTGGGCTCAATCGCCAGCCGCCGCGCAGGGCGCACACGCTGCGCGCGTACCCCCGCGCGCGCCCGCGCACCCGGAGCCGCACAGCCAAACCCCTCTCATCTCTCGCGCCCCCTCCCCTCCGCCTGCCCGCCGTCCCCTGCACCTGCACAGCTTCCAAGCGCCCACCATGCTGCTGTCAGAGGTCCTGCCGCGCCACCTGCGTGGCGCCGGCATGTACACATACAACCTGTTCATGCTGCTGGGCTTCCTGATATCGGCGGTCGCAAACCAAGCGCTGCACGTGCTGCCATGGGGCTGGCGCCTGAGCGTCGGCCTCATGGCTGCGCCTGGGCTGGCGCTTGCTGCTCTGCTGCCGTGGGTAGCGGAGAGCCCGCAGGCCATGCTGCAGCGAGGGGACGAGGAGGGAGCGGAGCAGGTGCGCACAAAAGGGGCAGCGCCATGATCCAGCCTGAGGTGGCTTGCGTTTTGCGTGCGAAGGAGGAGTGGATGAAACCTTTGTGTGCTGGGGCTTGTCCTGCATCGCGCTGATTCCTGCCCGCCTGCATGCCCCGACTGTCGCCCCTTGCACTTGAATGTTAAGAGCTGACAGACGCGCGGTCGCACCCCGCCCACACTGCAACACACACACACACACACACACACGCGCGGGCGCGAAAACACAACCCTCTCCCTGCCCGCCTTCAAGGCACTCGTGACCCTGCGGCCCCCGGGCTCAGACATATCGTCAGAGCTCTCCCAAATCCGCGCCGCAGCCGCGCGCGCCGCGGCCCTCGCGGGCGGCCGGCAGCGCGCCAAGGCAATGCTATGCGACCACCACCCCGAGCTGGCGGCGTCGGTGCTGTACCCCTTGGTGCTGATCTTGACGGGGTTGACCGTGCTGTCCAGCTGGACACCCAACCTGCTGCTCGCCTTGGGCGCTGACCCGGGGTTTGCGCTGAAGGGCAACACCATCATGATGGCCGCCGGCCTCGCCGCGGCAATACCGAGTGAGGGTCTGCTCTTGTTGTGGACACGGAGTGCTTTTTCGTCGGCAGCACGGCACCAGCATCCGACTGGTCGTTTTCCCTTGGTATCTGGAAAGGGCTTCGGAGCTTGGCGCTTGCTTTGGTCCACCACAGGCTGGGGCGGTTGGCTCCCTCCCATCCCAAGGGCTCGACGGGCCAAATCACCTGCAACCCACTTGCACTGTGTCAACTACCCACTGCTGCCGCGCTCACCCCGCCTTGCCATGCTCATGGCCCGCCTTCTATTCGCAGCCGTGATTGTCGTCGAGCGCACCGGCCGCCGCACCCTGCTTGCTGCTGGCGGCGCCGTCATCACCGCCTCCATGGCCATCCTGGCAGCTCTGCTTGCGGTGTACCTGCCGGCCAGCTCTGACAGCACCACCGCATCTGGCCAGCCGTTGCAGCAGCAACAGCAGCGGCAGCCGCCGGCCGCGCTGCTGCCGGTGGCGGTGGTGCTGCTGTGCATCAACAGGATCGCAATGTCGATCACGCTGCAGCCGCTTGCCGCGACAGGTGCGCTGCGCGAAGATGTGGGGTGGTATGGGAGCTTATGAACGCGTGGGCAGCTTCCCATGATCCACGGGTCCCTCAGGGACCAAACAATGCAAAGTTGACCAGGTGCGTGTGTCAATGCAGTTGTCTACTTGACGAGGAAATTGCAAGCCGGTCCCCTCTCTACCCCTCTAAACCGCTCCCTGCCTGTTCCGGCGACCGGCCACCCATCCCTCCGCCGACAGTGCCTGCGGAGGTCCAGCCGCTGCAGCTGCGCAGCGACTTCTCGAGCCTGACCACTGGCGTCCGCAATCTTTCGGGCTTCTTCGTGACCCAGTTTGCGCTGCCGTTGCTGGTGAGTCGCCATGCAAGCGCTGCTGCATCCGAAGGGCAGTGCTTGGGCTGCAGCTTGTCAACAAGTCCAAACGGCCGAAGCTGGAAGCTGCACTTGCATGTGTCCTGGGCAAGTAGCCCCTTCATGACGCACACAGCAGGCTCCTTGACTTTTGCATCCAGTTCTCATCTTGTCATTCGTCCGCGCCTCCCTCCGCAGTGCGCCGCGCATTGGGGCTTGTTCCTTGTGTTCGGCGGCTGCGCCGCAGTGGGCTCGCTCGCACTGTGGCTGCTGGTGCCGGAGACCCGAGGGCTGCCCCTGGAAGACGTGTACCACTCGTGGCACGACCACTGGCTGTGGGGCCGCCACCGCTGCGTGCGGGAGCGCGCACGCGTGGACGCCGCGGTCCCTGGGACGCTCGAGGCGGAGAAGGGTTCGGACACAGTGTGACGCGCAGGGACTGCGCCAATCAACAAGAACCGCGTGCTGACACTGTATCAAGAGCTGCAACCAACAGCATTGCATCGTAGCGACCTCCCACTTTCTCCAGCTCTGTATCCCGCCTTGCTGGCGCGTGGCATCCGTGCTTCCTTGTCGGGCACTCGCCGCCTTTCCCTGCGCTGTGAGCAAGTGTATGTTGTGATCATGCGCAGACGTGCTGTCTCCTCCTGGGAGGGTGCCTGCCATCTGGCACCTAGAAATCATGTTTGTGCAAACGTCCCTTGACGATTTTTGATCCGCTCGTCATGCTCTGTCCCCTTAATGCGTCGGTGCTCCTGCAACTCACAGACTGATTGGGCTGCAGGTGGGACTGCTGTTTTGTGTGGCTCATGATGCTATGCTGGCTTCACCTCTCCAGATTGAGGAGGGTATTCCAGGTAATTCCTCAACGTTGTGTTGGGCTGCAAACTCTTCATATTATCGCAGACAAGTGCCCATGAGATCTGGGACATGATACCTCCAGTAACTTTCCACAACGGCTTGATCAGGCTAGAGGCTAACAAGCTGCACGCTTTGTGCGCACAGAGCATGCACGCACGCCCCCCGGCCAAAGCCAGCACTGTGGTGTGCCCATGCCCGCATATGCCACGACCTGAATTGCATGTCTTCATGTCCGCGTGTGTGCGCATGTGTGCACTTACATGTATACACACGACTTCAAGAAACGTAATCACAAGGAGTTGGTGGTGGCAGAGTATGTTTCAACGCACGGTCAACACCTGGGTCATGAATGCAGAGCAAACAACAATTGTGCATGATACGCATAATCTTGTATTTTGACGTCAAAAACCTTACGATTCTGAGGTCCAGCCATGCAGGTACCCTTGCTGCATGGCCACTTACAGGATGAGCGCATCACTCGAAGGACAGCGCCGGGCGGTTGAAATGTTCGCTGACTGCTGCACCAATCACATCCGCTGCGCAGAAGGCAAACACTCATGTGCTGAGTCAACGTATTTTTGGTTTTCTTCAGACCACAAAAGATGCTTTCAGATCGCGCATTGCCGCTCGACGCTGTCCGGTTTGCCGCGCACCTGCAAGTAAGAACATTTGATGATATGTCAAAAGATTGCATGGCTTCAGTTGCGTGCTGATCACCCAGGCGCTCCAAACCGTCCCGGTGTTCCAGTGCTGCAACTCGACTGCACCGCTGACGCGGCTGCTGCGGTCCTACCTCCTGTGCAGGAGTGGTGTGAGGCAGCAGATGAGGGCCAAGCTGCCATGCTTGGAATCCAATCCTGCCTCGCTGAGCTCCAGGAACCCTTGATTGCTCATGATACGCCCCACGACCCCGTGGGTGCGCTGACTTCCTTGCTCCAGCTGGTGAGCAGTGCAGGCTCCTGGCAAGCTCACCAGGCCGTGGGCGCGTGGCGCCACTCTGCCTTCCTTGGGATTGCTCAGGGCCTTCTCTTGTACTTGAACTCCCGCAGGCACCCTCGTTTGGCCTGCAGCGCCATGTCGAACAGGCGGCAGCCGCCTACAGCAGAACGCCCCTGCTGGCCGACGCCCTTCACAGCCACCACTGCAATCTGCTGTCGGCAATGGGCAAGCTGGAGCACGAGAGCGCAGCAATGACATCCGCTTGCGAACGACATGCTGCCCAAGTGCTGGCGAAGCCCCCAGGCCCGCTTGCACCGAACGAAGGTGCGCCGCACAGCGCGCGCCGCCCAAGCAGCCATGCACTGCCATGACTCAGCACCTTTCTGAGACCCGGCACGGCGACTCATTTGCCCGCAACACTACGTTGCCGCTGCCCAAACAGGTGGCTCCCCCTCGCCTCGCACGGAGGGAGGGTCTGGCCCGGAGGAGTTGACCAGCGGCCATCTTGGTCAAAGCAAGGCTGCCGGCGGCAGCCCGGGCGCCGGCTGCGACGCATTGGGCGATGAGGAGCTTGGCCTTGTGATGGCGTCTCTGGCTGCGGCGGTCAGGAGAACCACGGCTTGGATGGTGAGGCCCTGCAGGGACCAAGGATGGGCTGCAGCCACCAGGCTCAATAACCCGGGTGGATTTGTCTCACGGCGGCGCGGTTACGACCCGCTCCGCTCCACTGCCAGCCCCGGCCATCTCTCTCCTGCCTGCGCCTCTGCTCGCAGGCAAAGTCCGCCGCCGCGGTGTCGCTCACGGCACCCGCGGGAGAGGTGGAGACGTATACTCAACTGTGGGAGCTGCGGCCTTTCTTGGACGAGGAGGCGGCAGCCGCGTTTGTTGATGCGGCGCTGGCGGCTCAGCGGCGCAGAGGCCTACAGGAGGGCGGCGGTGACAGCAGCACCTTGGCCAGGGCGGCTGCATAAGACCTGTGCATGCATTTGCCTGTGCTGCTGGCCGCTGTTGGTCCGAAGCAGCTTATTAGGGCAGCTGGGTTGAATTGAAGGGACAGACAGCCTGCGTCTGCTGTAAAATAGCCGGCTCGTTGCCAATTAGGTTGGGGTGAGCAGATTTGCCAGGCAGTTGTGCATGCAGGGCCTGCAGCTGAGCACTGGCACTGCTTGCAGGGCGAGTCCAGCTGTGAATTGCGTGCTGCTGCTGGTGCGTTCGCACCAAAATGTGGAGGGATAGTTGTGTCGCAAAATGGCTGAGCGTCTCCAGACCTAATGACATGTTACATTTTGCTGTGTCCTGTTGGTTGCGCACTTTTAGGGAGATGCACATGCTGATTCGCAAGAGGCAACGAATGCGCGCACTGGCGCCTACCTGCTTGGCGTGTAAGGGGGCCCAGGCCCAATCAGCGGCAGTCGCTTGGATCACCAAGAAACACAGTGTCGAGCGGGGGAAACGCAATCACTGCTCGCATAGTAAGGACAGCGGGCGGGCAATCCATGCAGGTTGCATATTGTGTGCGGCTCTGCATTCAGAGACTCCCAGAAGTCGGCAAGGAAATAAGGGGCTCTACGCTGCAAAAGATCAGGGATAGGCTCAAAAGGGGGGGTTGTTTTGTGGCCGCCGCATTCGCTAGCGGCAGTCGTAGCGCCTGCCAGGCCTGCCACCCGCTCGACTGCTGCACAACCGCTGCCACGAAGTGCGCCTTAGGGCCCACTGGGTGGCAGCGCCCGCACGCCCTGCCAGCCTTGTTTAGTGACCAAACTTGCCCTTGCCCAAACCCCAGGCCCCCTTGCCGCGGCCGGCGTATGGCACCACCACGGCGGCAGTTGTGTAGGTCGGCTGCACGTAAATGGGCTGGGCGTACGCGGGTTGCGCGTAGACGGGCTGGACGACCGCAGGCTGCACGTAAGTGGGCTGCACATAGGCAGGCTGCACATAAGTAGGCTGCACGTAGGCCGGCTGCACGTACGTGGCCGCAGGTGCCACATAGGCGGCGCCGGTGACGGCGCCCTTGCCCTTGCCAATCAAGAAGTCGGTACCGCGCAGCATGCGCGCGCCAGACGCGGTGGTGACTGCGGTTGAAAGGGCACGGAGGAGGGTGAGGCCGGGGATGCGCACTGGGGTGAATGTGGGGCGAGTTCTATTGCACGCAAGCACACGCGTTTCCACGCACTGCAACCATCCTGCGCCGGCTGCAACTCGCAGCTGCTGTGCGGGGCCCCGGCAGTCTGACTTGCCCATACCTGCCAGAAGCACCAGCAGGAGCGAAGCAAATGTTTGAGTGCTGGCCATCGCAGAGATCCCTGCGACCAATTTGACGACGCACGGGCGGGGGGTTAGCTGGCAATGCACCCGGGCGGCGCAGTCTCGGGGGGCCAACTGAAGCGGTGTGTCCAGGAGTTTGCAAAAATCGAAGAGTCGTGAATATTGTTGCTTTGCACACTGTGCTGCATGGACCCCGTACTTGTACGTACTAAGGCAACGCTGTCGGGCGGCCCGTCCATCGGTTCAAGGCAACGGCCCAAGAGATGAGGTGCACTTATTTTGGCTGCCGAACCCATTTCACCCGTCGCGTTCGCGCGAGACTCCCTGCACACCTGCTGCCAGTGCGAGAGCTCTGCAAGTGCTCAACTCGGCGGGCGCCCTCTTAGCGGGGCGGCAGGATTCGTGGCGCGAAGGGTGAAACAGTGAAATGCGAGCTGCCGGACGCGTTGAAGTCGTTGCACGTTGCTTTGCGTATGCAGTGTCACCAAGTGACACTCTCCCACCATCCATCAGAAGGACGACAGGCGACGACGCAAATGAAATACGCAAGCAGCCAATAAAGGCCGCGTGGCCTGCGGCCCACGGCGCCCCCGAATTGCGATGACAGAGAATGCCACATCTGCCGTTTCATCTGCAATGACAGTTGCAGCTGCACCACATCAGCACCGTTACATCAGGCTCAACAGGTTGACCAACAGCAACAGGGATCTAGCAATACGTGAAGGGGCCGCTGCAGACCACCTGGAACGCAATCAGCTGGTCAGCGCGCAGCGTCGCCCGGCCAGCGGCGATGTTCTTGGCAAGCACCAAGACAACCGGCAACTCCTCGGAATCCTGCAAGCCTGGAGCACATCTGCCGCGAACGGCTGTGCCCGCCACGCGCATAAGACAGGCTCATCAAAAGCGCAGCGTGCTGTGCCTGCGGCGACCCCGCCCTGAACGCGGCATGCCGCTGCGCCCAGCAGTGTGGCCGTTGCGTCCTTGAAGATGCCAGGTGGGCAGTGGTGCCCAGCACGTGACGTCCGGCCAGTGGCCACGTGCCACGTTGGCCATGGCGCCGGCAATGTTGGGCTGATACGGTGTGACAACTGCGTGCGGTGTGACAACTGCAGCCGTCACCGCTTGCGTGTAGCTGCCAGCGGTCCCAACCAAGTCTGACCTGGCTTGCTGCTCTGCTTCGTCCTCTTCGCCCAGTGAGAGCCCCCAGCTGTTGCCGGGCTCGCGCCTGTCTTCAGCCAAAAGCGCGAGCTTGCCGGGTAAAGACTGCCACTGCAGCAACTCCAGGTGCCGCACAGGTGTCGCAATCAACCTGCAGTTGCCTCAAGCTGCCAGGGTCACGGCCCGTTGCGCATGGATTGCGTCGAGGCCGCTGGTCTCGTACTGCAAACCTGTCGTACATGCGCCCGCCAGGCTGGCAGAAATCTGAGGCTGCAGGTCGCTGGGGTTCAGGTTGCGCCAACCATGCCGACTGCCTGCCACTGGCAGGCAATGTGGCACATGGCAAACCCGCGGCTGCGCAAGGACCTTATCGAACCCGGGCTGCCCACCACATGGCTGCTGGCTGGCTGATATCACCGGTACAGGGCGCGGACCTGCTGCGGCGACGCCTCCGACATCTGGCGCGCAAGCTCGTCTCCGCGCCGCTTTGCAGCAAGTCAAGCGCGCTCTGCACGTCCTCCGCAGCCAAGGCCTCGCACAGCGCCTCGCGGGCCGCAGAGCTTGCGTGCAAGTTTGGACATAGCTGGCCTGATGCGCTGCGTGCCTCTGCATGACGTTCTGCAGGGCCAGCACAAAGCGCGGGTCCCGTGCATGGCGCCGGTCGCTGCGGCGCAACAGCGCCGGCGGCGGGCACGTGCCTATTGCAAACACAAGAGGTCTGGGAACGCGCACGCTGGCCATGCCCTGTCAGAATCGCTGGACGGACAGCCCTGCCTTGCCGCTGTTGGAATCAAAGCGCCGCCGTTTCTAAGCAACGCAGCTGCGTCCTGTGTCGCCTGCGCAGCCTCGCGCACGAGCTCGTGTTGCACCTCACGCCCTGGTGAGGGCGGCAGCACGAGTTCCACATCGTCAACTCCGTCGTCCGCCTGCAGCGCGCCCGCAGGCGCGCCAGCGACTGCGGGGACAGCGGCCGCCGCTGCAGCTTCGGCGGCTGCTGCGGCCTCTGCCGCGGTGCCGAACCGCACGGCGCCATGGCTGGCGCGGTCGTCATGCAGTATGGCTGAAGCTGCCGCTGCGGCGCTCGGGTCTGATGCAGCCAACACAGCTTGCACCAGGGCTCCCGGCACGCCGTCCAAGCTGCTGGCTGCCGCAATGGCCGCAGGGTCACCCACAACGCCACTGACAAGGCTGGCACGCGCTTGTGTTGTAGCCCAAGGAGGCAGGCGCCACAGACGTCAACACAAGGGCCTGAGGTGGCGAGGAGGGGACATTAAGAGATTTGTCTGTGGTGTTGTCGTGGAGCCCTGCCCCACCAGCTCCTCTACCCTGCAGTTTGTCGCCGGCTGCTGCTGAGCGGCCGCACAAATGAAGACACAACAACGCACCTGTGCATCGTGCCTCCTATCCAGCACCCTCCAGCTGCTCAGCTCCTGCACATAAACGGCCAACGTACAAGCTGGTGAAAATGGACAATCGAGCTGGAATTGCTCAGAAGAATGCTGCAGGTCAAAGCAGCATGGTGATGGACACTGCATGTGCAGAAGACCGGAAACCCTCGCGCGCAAGCAGGGGCAGGTGTAGCTTAAGCCGCAGCCACAGCCGCTCTTTACGCCAATACGCCACAGCCGCCTCAACGCGCCCGCGCAAGGCGTTGCAGACACCTCAACCCCGCCTCACCCGCAGCCAGCTGCATTGCGCGGTTGATCCAGCAAAGCTGCGTGCCGCCCACCGCACACTCGTGTGCGGCCAACTCCATTGGAGCACTCTGCTCAAGCACATCTGCGTGCGCATCAAGGTTGCCATGGAGGCATAATCAGCCGTGCGGCAGATCGAGTCATGGTGTAATGCAGCGCCTGCTAAGCCCCATAACAGAGTTGCGTACGCATACCGTAGCGCAACCCTGCCACGCAGCACCGCCCAAGCCGACAGCTCACCATGCACCCAATAAGCAGTAGCGCCGGCCGTTATACCGCACATCTGTATGACCACTGCGAGGTATCTGTGCTGTTGCAGGCTGCGCTGTGTTGAGAAGCGCCAGCCCTGGCAGCTAAGCCAAAGGCATGTGCTTCAAAGCGCCAAAAGGCTGGAGCTGGTCGCAGACTGCGCAGCAGAACCACGGAGGCAAGGCCCACAGCTCGCGCCGCACGCCGTACGTCACGCATGCATCGCACGTCGGCTGCTTATTGGTGAACGGGGCGTCAAGTGCAGCCGCCTGCGTGCCAAACGCTGTGCCAGCTCGCGCGCTGCAATGCTGCAGCATGCTTTCCGCGCTGGGCAAGTCCGGTGCCGCCTGCAATGGTGTTTCATAGGCAGCTGCTGCCGGTCCTGCCGCTGCTGCTGGTGCTGCCCTTGCTGGGGCCGCCATCTATGCCTCTCTGAAGACGCCCAAATCTTCGTCGGCCCTGCTAGGGGCCGGCCGTCTGCGCCGCTGCTGTCCACAAGCCTCCTGGAGCAAGCAATTACTCAATCGCTGGGAAGCCTGCTGAGGCTGCAGCCCTCTGTGCGGCAGCCAGCCCTGGCAGCATGCACAACACAGCTGCCTGCCGGACGGCAGCACGCCGAGCACCACAACTCAATGCAGTTTCCGGTTGTCACAGCGCCCCGCCCCAATGACTCTGTTGGGGCAGCAACGCGCCTGGGCCGCGTTGTCCGCCGCTCGCTGCGCAGTGGAACATGCATGCGCCACACGGCCGCCAGCCGCCACAGCATCTAGCACACAGCTAACACCGTTCATTACGGTCGATTTGCCGACGGGACGCTTACTCCAGAACATACACTCGGGACGTCCGGATCATGCTCGCGGCACCGTAAGCACACGGTGCCCAAACACTGAGCAATCAATTCACAAAGCTTTCCGCATGCATGCAGCCCCAAAGTCACGCCGTGCTCGCTTTGTGGAACGGGTGACACGGGTGACCCACATGTTTAGTAATCCGGCCCTGCCCCCAGATCGGTGTCCCTCATTGCTGTCGCAATTCGGGAATACCAGCCGATCGGTGCATGCAGGGTCTGCTGCTGCCCATCGGATTGCCGAGGACTGCCGCACAGCGATGATGCCTTCCTGAAAGCTGCCGCAGCTGCTGCTGCTGCTGCTGCTGCTGCTGCTGCTGCTGCTGCTGCTGCTGCTGCTGCTGCTGCTGCTGCTGCTGTTGCTGCCGCTGCTCCTACTGCTGCTGCTGCTGTGCAGCCTGCACGCCATACAAAAGACCTCACTCGTGATGGACCTATTACATGCACATGCAGCCCAGCCGCCTGAATGTGGCGCAGGCCGAGCCAGCCACCGACGGAAAAACCGCCGCGCGCCCTCGCCGCACGGCCAACCCCGCAGCGCGCGCGTCACCACGCAAAGAAGTACAGCCGCAGCGCCAGGCCGAGCCCCACGTGGCACCCGAAGATGATCCCCAGCAGCAGCACCGCCTTGGCCGGCGCCGCCTCGTAGATCGACTGCTTCAGGTTGGCCACCACGAACGTCCCGCTGATCGCGGTGGCGGCCATGACGGCGAGCCAGCGGAGCAAGGCCAGGGGCGGGATGCAGATGAAGGCCATCGGGATGAAGATCGTGAGGCTGTAGCCGTAGATGCACCAGACATTGGCGAGGCGGATCTCGCTCCTTTGGGGGGCAATGGGGTAAACGGGGGAGGAAGGGGGGGGGGCGGGGGTGGCAGGAAGGGGCCCA